TGGGCTGATATCAAGTACAGAACATAAAGAGATTTTTGCCTGATAGTGCACACACCTAAATAAATTTCTTCTAGTTTGGCTGTGGAGTCTGAGTGTAGAACTCTTGGTTTCCTGGATCTAATGTCACATGTTGAGTGGAAAATTACGTTTAACCTCAATCACTTGATAAGTCTTGGGTTCGATCAAACATGATCTCGAAGTGAAAAAGATCATGTAATACTTTTTGCCTTAGGCATGGGTTTACATTGATGAAACCTGTAGTGGGAACTATATCAAGTACAAAAAACTTATATTTTGGATTCACTGCAGTTAAACTACAAAGAACTCTTCTAATGTCACATTTGGAAGTAGAGGGATGTTTGCATCAGATGTATCTCAAAGCAAGGTTTTGCGCAAACTGCCACGTCCAGGCACCGTAACAGGAGCTCTTCGGTTCAGCTCTCCATGGGAGCAGAGTTGCTTATCTCTCCCCATATATGCATGTCTTTCTGATCTACCATTTTTTCCCGTCAATTTTAGATAATTCAGTATTGTAATGCTCCCAGTAGGGAGTGACTTGCGATTACGTCATTCTGTTCAAGGAGAAGTAAGAATGAGGAATATAAGTTAGTATGTTAAACCTGTGTTAATGTAGTCATAAACTTAACACAGAAAGTCAAACATCATATTTTGGTGGCGGATGGGTTTGTCGATACTCATTTTACTGAAGATATTTTTGTATCCTGGTTGTTCTGATAAGATCTTAATTTTTTTTTTTGATGACCGAGAAATCCGTATGGAGCCGATCTTTGGACCAACTCGGTGGATAATGGGCCCGCCCCTCTACCCTTCTATATAAGATCTTAAATTTTTAACCCAGATTTTCTGTGTTACTCCATACCTTTTGTTTCCGTTGTTTGTTGATATGGCAGTCTATTTGATGAGTTTGATTTGGACGAATTAGCTTAGAGTTTCCACTGGCATCTGGCTACAACTTTCAAGAAACTGATTGTCAGATGCATTGCCTGTTATTTTTATTAATTTAAAGAAGCATGGTGGATATGACGAAGTAGACTATTATCTCGGCAATAATGAGCCAAGCTAGTATTTTGCAGTGAATCCCCCATTAAGTAGCCATGCATTGTGATTTGGAATGCCCGATTATCTAGCATGCGCTTCATTTCTCGCTTTTTCGCTTTAAGCTCTAAGGACCTTGTCGCTTTTTTGTGCTCTCGATTTTAAAAGCACCTAGTTATTATAATTTCCTTCTTTTTGTTGGTTTAATGGAACTTTCATTTTACATTGCAGAATGATCCTGAACGAGCACTGAGAATGACTACGAGACAAACGTTGATTGAGATATGGAGGTACTTCATTTTGTTTCTTTATCTTCAGCTGCAACTCCCATCTCCCCTTCCAGCCCCTCTTCTCAGATACTGCAATATGTTTTGACCTAGTTGACAACAGGTAGTTGGAGAAGTAATAAGCTCTCATGAGTTGATTGACTGTAGTATTAGTTTTGGTTTCACAAACTAATCCTTTTCTTTAGGGTGCCGATTGCCGATAGGATAATTGTACATTTTATTGAGTATGATAGTAGATGTATGAAGGATGTGATTCATTTTAAAAAAGGGGTATGGGGGAAGAAAGCTGTGGACAGAATGGGTATTGGGACCTCTGTTCCATTAAGAGACGACTTTTGTAAAAGTATCTGAGATCCCACTAAGTGATGACTTACAAACTCTCCACCATTTCTAGCTCCTTGTCTTCCTTACCCTTTCATTATGATGAATCCAGTTGATTCGCTTGATGTTATGGAATACCTGTTTCGTCGTGTTGTCCGTCTCCATTTATTCTTTTTCTTATAAGATACAGGGTGATTCTTTCATGCTGCTGAGAAAAATAATTCTATTTTATCTGGGTGCTTAGTAAGTTTTTAAGTTAGTACAAAGGGGTAGAATGCTTAGCGGATACACAAAGTTCCATTTGATCAAGATGAACCTTGGAATATGCTTGTGTCCACCTGAAATCAGCATCTTGCTGAGTGTTAAAAGATTTGTTCTTGTACTGGAAACGATTTGAAGCATAATTGTAGTATCTCAGGACGTATAGACCATTGTCTTATAGTTCTTTGTGCTGTGAACTGTGCTAATTATTGTTTTCATGAACCAGGGATGGGGGAGCTAAGGGGTTGTTCACTGGAGTTGGCCCCCGAGTTGCCCGAGCTGGTCCTTCAGTTGGGATCGTTGTTTCCTTCTACGAGGTGGTAAAATATGCTTTGCGCCATAGGCATACCGCATATGCATTGGCAGAGCAAAGATGCTGATCAATAGCACTGTGATCTACACGCTAATGAGGGAAGTGATGTTAGCATAACTTGTACTGATAACAGGCTGAAGAGAGAAAGGACAATATTCGACCAAGTGTATTCTACTGAAGACCTGACCGTTTCAGTAATTTGGGTCATGACGGTAATTCCTTCTAGCCAGTTTTGCCTGTGAGGCTTGAAGGTTGATTTATTCAAGCAAGTGGAGAAGTTTCTCCAGTGGTGTAGCTGATTCATAAATAGGCAGCCATTTATGCCTTTAGTTTCTTTGTAAATTCACAACCCTTCTCCCACTGTACCTATTGCGTACATACGGAGATATAATAAGAGAATAACAACTGTACCCTTCTGTATTTCAGATTCTTTGTACTAGTAAACAAAAGAAACTAGACTGTTGTGTTGCGTGGTAGTAAGATTTAAAAAAAAAAAAATTGTCGTAGGAAACTTCCTGGAGGGAACTAAGGGATAATATACGTGGGGTTGCTTGCAAATGCTCGATGGCGTGGGTTCAGACAGTGTGAAACATGGGAGTTTCAATACGCAACTACAATTCAATAATTAAGTACAAAGCATTGAAGGAGAGTATGGGGAAAAAGGGAACCTGAAAAAAGAGAGTAATAGAACGCTGCTCTAAATGGCCTTACTTTTTTACTTCCACTTTTCTCGAGTTCACGTCTTCTTTTACTTGTATTAATAATCAGTGCGTTCCAGATGGTGCATTTCTTTATATCCCAGAAGTAGTGGCGGATCCCGGATTCCGAATAAGGGGTTCAATATTATAAAGACGTGAACAGTAAAAATTTCATCTAATGGGTTCATCAGAAATTTGTTGAATCCAAATGTAATGTCAAACGGGTTTATAAAAAAAATTAAATCTAAATAGGAATTAAACTATCGTCAAAACTCATGCTAACGATATGTTGGATTAACGTAAAAATAGAATGGTATAGCCAGTTTTCGGACTGATCATTCAAAAATAGCTAGCGTTTACCAAGTCAATGAAAAATAGCCACTATTTTGCTGCAACAGAGATCGGTCCAGCATAATATACTGGAGTTCGGTGCACCTGTGTATGAACTCCAGCATATTATGCTGGACCGGTATACTTTGCTGGCTCCAGTATAATATACTGGAGCACCGGTGCTCCAAACTCCAGTATATTATGTTGGACTGGTATACTTGCTGGAACTCCAGTATATTATGATGGAGTTCTAGTGTACTTATGCTGAAACTCCATCATATTATGCTGGAGTTCCAGCATATTTATCCTGGAACTCCAGTATAATATGCTGGAGTTCAAGTATATTTATGCTGGAACTTCAGCACAATATACTGTATTTTCCGGGTTTTGAATAGTGTTTTCGCTCAGATTTATCTTTACATAAAAAGTGGCTAAATTTCTATTACTTTTGAAACTGGACTATTTTTGAACGACCAGTTGTAAATTCGGCTATTTTTGAATTTCTCCCTGGATTAACAGCTTGCTGGATGGTTGTTCCCCATTGTATCGTATTGTATTGTTATCCCAAAACAATGTTTGTTTTGATTGTTTCATTAAAATTGGTTGTATTGTATTATTAAATCCATTATTCCGGAACAATGAAAAGTCCCCTTTTTTGAAACAACCAATTTGGTGTGGTGGGATTGTTTCCTATTTTTCTTTCCAATTATGCCCTAACTTATTACTTTACAATTCTATTGTACCCTTTAGCTTCCTNTCCTTTTTTTTTTTTTTTTTTTTTTCTATTTTAACTCCAAATCTCCAACCTATAACCTACTTTTTTTCCCCAAAACTTCAGCCACCAACGTTAAAGGTGTTTTGCCGCCTTTCGTTTTATTTTTTTCTCCTAATTTGCTTTAAACTCAATTCTAATTAGCTGTGCTCCTTTGTTTTGCCTTATTCTATCTCGCTCCTTTGTTCTGTTTTCTTAAGGTATTTTGCCTTCTTCTGTTTTATTTTTTAAAATTAATTTTATACATAATTTTTGATAAATTTAATATTTAAACAATTGAGGGTATTTTAGTAAACTTATCAGTTACAGTACAGTACGATACAGTCAAATCAAACAACAAAATATTATTTTACAATAACAAACAAATACAATCTATCCAAATATTATATTCATAAACCGATACGATACAATATAATACAATACATTATAAAACGACGGGGAACAATGATCCAAACAGAGTGTAAAACTAATAGTACATTAGTTTGTTTTGAAGTAATTGTTTTTACAAAAAAAAAACAAAAAAAAAAAAAAAGAACTAGTAAAAAGGGGCATTATAAGGAAGAGAAGGCAACAAAAATCAATTATAATAAATAATAAACAATAAATTAGTAAAAGATAATTGCAAAAACAACTATTTTAATAATTAAATAAGACAAAGAAGTTGAAGGCAAACAATAGGATCTTATTCGCCTCAATAGGATCTGCTGCGTAATGTACTGTTCAAGCAGTGGAAAGAAAAAACAATTGCAATGTGCGGAAAGACGGGATCGAGCGTGGACCCTTAAAAAGAAATTTTGAACCCCTTTGACCCCTAAACTAAGCTTTAGATTTGTGTCAAGGGGATGCAATAAATTTTACCCTATATATATAGAGTGTAATCTTCCGACGAAGGGGGTTCGGACGAAACACTTCCGTCCTCTAAATCCGCCCCTGCCCAGAAGACGGGTATGAGACTTGAAATGTTGAGAAAAGTGGAAATGAGAAAAAGGCAACTAAATATATAACCCCTGGAAAAATAAACATGAACGGATTGATAATTGAATCCATATGAAGAATGACCAATCATTGTCCCAAAGAGAAAAATGAAACATAATTTTAGGTTTTACTAATACTAAGAGATAAATTTAGAAAAAGTTGTAGGGAGAAGCGTCCATAGGGTGGATGAGATATGTAAGGAATAAAGCCGCCAGCATCAGCACGTATGCAATTCCTTGATCTATGGATGTTCCTGCAAATTAATTACCACAGATCATATTAGCCGAAAGGATTAAGTTACATACATTAGATTTGTCGTATAACAAAAAGATTTACCCTACACCAATTTAACCTGGCTAGAGCATCTCTAGTCCAAGTATACTCAGCTTGTGTAAGATTGAATACTAATTTGTTTTATACAGTTTTCATCAAGACTTGTAAAATTGTACATTTCGAAGGCCACTGAATGTTATCCTAAGATCTCTATCTCTGTTGCTCTTGTACCAGGAGCAAGCACAAGAGTTGTTTTATATAGAGATCTAGCTACTACAACTATTTTGTTTCAAGTTTTGGGTTGAAATGTTCACTTTTAATAAGTACGTTCTTAGATTTGTAAGTCTTCATTTAACTTAGCAGAGTAAATCCATATGATTCTTAAAAGTTTTATGCTACTTTACATAATTTTGGGTTTGATGTTGCAATTGTTTCTCAAAGTCAAAAGAAACACCCGACAAAGAATCTGAATAAACTAGGAAATAATTAACCCTTTCAGAGAAGTGAAAATCAGATCCTACAAACCCCCACTGTTCACAAGGCAAACANGGGTTGCATAGCAGATTAAAAAGGGTTTAACTTTTGTACACTGGTGGTGTATAAATGGTTTGCAACAATATGTAGTAATTCTAATGCGATTAACATTAAAAAATTCGACTAATTAACTCATTATGATCAATTATTTAGACTGTTAGCAAACGAAAGTTAAATACTAAGCGAAAAGAGAAGGGGATAGAGCAAACCATCACTGGTAGGGGCAGGAGCAGGGGCCAAGTCTTGAGCTTGAACACAAGGGATGAAATTGAACAATGCCATGGCAAATATGGCCAACAAGATTGAAACTACAATTTTAGAGGCAGCCATATTCTCCCCAACTTTTCTAACTCCAGAGAGAAATATATCTTGGTAACAAAACAGTGAGGAATGCTGGTTGAGACCTTTGGAGATTTATATAGTTAGTTAGTAGGATCTAGTATTCTTTTTGTTTCTATTTGTATTTTAGAATTTAAGTTATATACGTCAGTATAATATTTTTCTACTCTATCAATTACTTTGACCTATTATTACAAGTTAATTATGATTTTTAGTATTAAAATATCAATTAGTGCTTATCATAAATTTTATCTATAATTATTTTTTAATTTTTTAGTTATACTAAATTTTTATGATATCAGTTAATAAAACTTAAACTCTTTATTTTATTCTTTAAAGCGAGCATAGAAAAGGTGAGAAAATTGTGGGGTCTATCAAACTTTGTTGTTTTGAAACCCCATGTGCCACCTCCTTTTTTTCCCAACTCTTTATTCTTTTTTCCATCAAACCTCAGATTATATGATTAATCAGAGATAATGCATAAATAAATTAATTTAAAATTATTTATCACTTGTTCTATAATATCAATTGAATTGGATGCTAAAGGAGCTGGACTTTAGATTCTTTGTTTCTTTTGACAGATAAGTTGGACTTTATCTTGTAAATTTTATATTTTAGGCCAAAATATATTACGTCAATTGAACTAGAATATTATGTCGTTTCTTTTTCTCTGTCAATCCACATAAGGTGTGCATAAAATTTTGAAAAGGATTCTAAAGGGTGATTGACACCTCAATCCGTATTAGCAGCCACCTAATTTGAATTTGAATTTGTGAATACATCTAGGTGAGTAGTTATCTAGCTATTACACCAAGATGGATACAAATAAATTGTAATCCCAAAGATATGATTGCATTTTTCTTTCAAAATTTGGTTATCTTTTTCCTGTGGTAAATTTTTATCACCCTAAAGGACCAGAATTTTATAGCAAAGGGAAGGCAATGGTCTTTTAATGAACTTTCCGCATTTCAAAATTTTTCACTATGAAACAATATAAAATATAAGTCTTAAAATGCCTTACTGGGATTTGTTCGAGCTCTTTAGGTCTTCAACACTTTTTCCTAAGTGCCAAAAGCAAATTAGAGCGATGAAACTTAGCTAGGTTCCAAATTTGGGTGAAACAAATTAAATATTGTCATTAGCAAAGGCAGATTCAAAATTTCAAATCAGCATGGGTAGAATACCGTTATACTTGCTAATCAATTGTAATAATATATGAGAACTTAATGAAATAGGACTGGTAATAAAAATGCATATCACCAATTTGAAGGGGGAAAAAGGTCACCAAATTTAAAGCCCTTGGACGATCACGAGGTAATCTCACTTGAAAAGATTTTTTTATCAAAAAAATAAAAGAAAAAAGATAGAAAAAGTAAAGGAAAAGAAAAAATAACGGAAAATAATTAATGATGACTATTTTACGCTCATATTATTGATAACATTCTCTTTATTCAATTTTTACGTTGCATTATCTCATGTAGATAGTCAAATATCAATCACATTTTTGTTTCGACGATGATTTTCTCAATAAATTTTACTAATATATTATTGACTATTGAATTTTTTGACATGTACTGTTTTTCACATAGTTACCCTTTTAAAAAAATTAAATGGATGATGGATCAATGCTCGAATTTACAATGAAAATGAAAATTAGAAGTATCGATCTTCAAATTTTGAACACCATTTTTCTTGAGACAAACAAGAATATCATCCCTAGATTTTGCTTTCGTTTATTTATTTATTATTATTTGTTCTTGTTTTTTGTTGGGAATATTAACAAATCATGGAGACAAGTTTGAGTGAAATTGAGAGAAAGAGGCCCATATAATGGTAGAAGGTGGGGTGGGCCGTTCGTGGAGCAAGATTACTTGGTATAGGGAAATTCCACATGCAAATTGCGACTAACATTAACACATCTTTATATTGAAATAATACTACTACTATATCTTAACTACAACACACCACATGCCATTGCATTGCTAGACCCTCACCACTCAATTACCACATCTTATATTCATATTTTTTTGCAAGGAATGGCCCCGCTATCCGCTTCACATGCCAAGTCTGATTTAAAGTTTATGAATTTAATTATATCAACTTTATTCATAACTTGTCTTAATTATAATGTTCATTATTAAATCTTTATACATATTCAAAAAATTTCCTAATACAATTACAAATGTCCTCCAAAACTTCTTTGCTTGTACTCTGCCGCGCAGACTTTTTTTTGTTTTGTTAAGCGGATGCATATTATAACTAAAACAAACTACCCGTTAGGGTGTACAAAAATAGTGTTTATGGGTGGGTAGATGATGCCCCCCTCTAGCATGCTATTGTTAGCAACTATTACAATCCATTGTTTTCCTTTCAAACACAGTTCCTGCAATTTCTATCCAAAATACATGATTGACAAACACCAGAGAAACTGTTGTTACAAAAATAGCAGCGGAAATCTCGACGAAAAAACATTTTTAGTAACACATGAATAATAGGAGAAAAAAAATAATGCATGTAAGACGAGAGTAAATTTTGGGGTGAAATTCAAAAATAGCCAGATTTACAAGTAGTAATTGAAAAATAACCAAGTTTTTAAAAGTAATCGAAATTTATCCACTTTTCATGTAAAGATAAATCTAAACAAAAATACTGTTCAAAATCCGAAAAATATTCCAGTTCAAATCTTTTACATGTGAACTTCCAACATAACATGCTAGAGTTCCAATATAATATGATGGAAGTTCATACACAAATACTCCAATTTCCAATATATTATACTGAAACTTTCCACGTTACACAAAATAGTAACTGAAAAGATAATGGTGATAGACTACTGAAATTTTCGTTAGTTATCTCCTTTTTTATAAGTTATTTAGTAGATGGACGTCTTCTTTTAGACAACGCTCCTTTTGAGCAAACTGAAAATCTTTATTAGAAAATATTAGACCACTGTTTGCATTTTCTAAGTTATTGCAAACGTTAAAGCTCAGTCTAATTTTTTGTGAGCAAACTGAAAGTTAAGGTGGTGTGTATACAGAAAAATAAAATGTTTGTTGTTGAGAGTCAAACTCAAGACCTTTGTTAACTAAGTAAGTACCCTAACCAACTAAGCTATGAGAGCTTGTTGCTTTTTTATTTCAGTTCAAAATAATTAATCTCTTATTTAATGGATTTGCTATAAAATTCAAATATAACTACAAACGATAAATTTGCTAAAAGTATAGTTACAAATGATAAATACAATATAAATATTTAATGTGTCGCGTAGTTTTCCCTTTAAACAATAGCCTAAAAAAAGGACAACTGCGTAAATTAGTGATTAGGCCCAAGTAGAAAATAGTAGATACCCTCGTGGCCCATGAAAACAGTAGGTTAGTGGAAAATGTTAAGCTGTCTACCACGTAAAAATTACACGGGGCGCCTTATTTGGTCGCCCCCATTTACCCTATACTCAATTTTTTAAATTTTTTTAATTTGTACCTACTTTTTAAATAACTTCAGCCTCATTTCTCCTCCTCCTTCTCCTCCTTCATTTTCTTCTTGTTCTTCTTCTTCTTCTTCTTCTTCTTCTTTCTTCTGCTGCTGTTGGTGCTGCTATGAAACTTCAGTTCATGGGATGGTTGCTATAAGTATGTTTATTAAATTTTTTAAAAATAAATTATAAATAATTCCGTAAGTTAGTAGATAATAATTTGTGAATATTTCCACGTAATTCTGTTCTTTTCACGTTTATTGTTTTCAAAATTTATGATTTAGATACTGTTGGCAATCTAATTATTTTATAGTAGTAATACACTATGAAAGAATAAGGTGATTATTTATCTAGTATGTTAGAAAGCTTTTTCAAAAACGTCAGCTTATATAGTGCTGATGTTTTTACAAATGAACTAAATAACTCCAGCATCTTCTGCTGAAGTTTTTGAAAAAGCTTTATGACAAAACTAATGAATCTAGGACAAAAAAACTTCAACTATTTTAGTGCTGAAGTTTTTACAAATGAACTAAATAACTTCAGCATCTTCTGCTGAAGTTTTTGAAAAAACTTATCCAGGACAAAAAAACTTCAGCTTATTTAGTGGTGAAGTTTTTACAAATGAACTAAATAACTTCAGCATCTTCTGCTGAAGTTTTTGAAAAAGCTTTATGACAAAACTAATGAATCCAGGACAAAAAAACTTCAGCTATTTTAGTGTTGAAGTTTTTACAAATGAACTAAATAACTTCAGCATCTTATTCAGGACAAAAAAACTTCAGCATATTGCCTTTGCTACTTCAGGCCCATCTACTAGAATGCTGAAGTTTTGCGTGATTGCCTTTGCTACTTCAGCCCCGTATGCTGAAGTTACGCGAAAAAGTGGGTACGCTTGCAATTTTTTTTGCAAAGCGGGCACAAGTTAAAACGTGACCCAAAAAGCGGGTATAAATGCAAATCCCCCGTCTACCACGCGCAGGGGCGTACATGGATCAGGTTGGTTCTGTTTTTATCAAAACCAAATCAAACCAACTATATTAGTTTAGATTTGTTCGATTTTGTCGGATTTTCGAGTTTTTTTCTTACATGAATATTATTTCAATCATACTTTGTTAAACTTTTGATAAGTAAATATATGTTTAATAAAAATTAAAAAACAAAATGACAAACATATGATCTATTAACATATTCTTATAGGAGAATTTTCTTAGTCGTTTGACAATAATTTTTCATTGATGTACAAGGTTGACTGAATTTAATAATTAAACATAAAAATCAATATGATACCTATATAATGATATGTTCTATTTAATTTTAAATTATCGAAATACCACTTTAAATTCGAAAAAGAGATAAGTTTAATAGGTATCTTGACTGAGGGTATACAAAGGAAACCGACACATCGTACCAACCCGGTAATCCCAGTCAAACCGAGAAAAAAAATTCGATTATGGTTTGGTGTTGGAAAAAAAAACCCGACCATAATACTCCCTTATTAATCTATTTATTTTAGCATGACTTATTAGTACTTTTAAATTATGTTTATTTTTATTATGGCTTTTAAACAATATTTATATTACATAATTTT